TGCACTAAGCAAACATACCATTCCACAGTGAGTAATGCAAAGACAAACACATTTTGGTAAAAGGAAAATGTCCCAGCATTAAATTTTTTTCAAACCATGCACACATAGGGTCAGCAGCTTAAACTTCTGAAACCTAAATTCCCTCTTCAGAAATTGCTTTTTCGTTGAAAAGTTTTCTCTTTAGTGTTAGGGAAAAAAACCTCAAGAGGGACTTCCTCACTGGAGAAAGACTTGGAAAAACCCCAGAGCTAAACTAAAAGCAGTGATCTTGGCCAGGAGTTCCCTGGCTTCCCCTTGCTATTATTAAGTATCCTTCTGTTTGACTAAGAATTTCTCCACCTCTCACAAGCCATCTCTTTACTTTCTGTGTCCAGAAAAAGCTGAAAACCATGTGTTTATAGTGAGCCTGTTGCTATGCAAATGATTAAAACACATTACAAAAATCTTTCCTTTGAGTCAGGGGAAGATGAGCTCCTGAGTCCCTGCGCTGAAGAGAAAAATTGGCAGAAAGGGGTATGAGAAGCAGAGCGAAATGGAAAAAAAAAATGATGGCCCCTTCCCTTGAGTCATTTTAACCAAAGGTTTGGGGGAAAACTAACGCTTTTAAAGCCCCAAGGTAATATGTCTTACAGTGTGGAGTGGGGTTAACAAGCTTTCGTCTTAATCGTTTTAATTCCTATGGTTTCATGACGCCTCCTCCATCTGTCTACGAGGGTGTCCTTTCCGCCAGTTCCTTCACACTTCTGCAAGAATGGCAGACGTTTGTTCCTTCTGTGTGTACTCCTCTGTGTATTCTCCTTTTATACCTTTTGTCTTCTTCAATAATCACCTAAAACGAGGGCCTGAGTTGCCCATTTCTCCCCCAATGCAATGGCTGTGTCTTGGCTGACTTCCCTCACTTATGAAGAGATTTGTTCTTCACAAGTTACATGCAGGAGATGAGATGAGACACAGTGAGTCAAAATTAGTGTCAAAAAAACAAAGCTGCTTGATTTTCTAATTCAAAAAATATCTGGACTTGATCATTTTAATAAAGTCCATTGCCTTCTAAAACAGTTTGCAACCGACAACATTCATGAATTTTTACAGTGTTGTTCTGTATAGTCTATTTTGTTGTTGTTGTTAATACTCATCTGAGGATATATTTTCCATTGATTTTTAGAGAGAGTGGAAAGGAAGGAGGGAGAAGGGAGGGAGAGAGGGAGAGAGAGAGAGAGAGAGAGAAACATTGATGTGAGAGAGACACATCGATTGGTTGCCTCCTGCACATGCCCCAACTGTGCCAGGGATTGAACCTGCAACCCGGATACATGCCCTTGACCAGGAATCAAACCCAAGACCCTTTGGTGAGAGGGGTGGTGGAGCAATGCTCTAACCACTGAACAATACCAGCTAGGGCTGTACAGTCTATTAATCTGCAAGTTTTCAAGGATGGGTTTGTCTCGGGATAAGAAATGAAATACATGCCTTTTAAATATATCTTCCTTTCACCCCCAGGTGTCTTCATATATATGGGTTCACACACACATCAAACTAACAAACAGTTTAATTCTAAACTCTGTCATTCTTCAGAGAGAAGAAACGGCTGGTCCTGACTAGTGCTATAGAACCTGTTTCACTCTCAAAGAGAAGTAGCCAAACCATTGCAAACATGTGTTGGGTAAAAACAAGTTTGGTTGGCTCCAGACAAAGGCTTATTTCTTAAGCACAGATGGCTGAATGGTTGCCTCCTCCAGCGCTTTTGCCCACAGTGAAAGACAGATTTCTATTTCTAATCTATGCAAATACCTCACTCTGTGGGCATCACAAAGACTAACTGTTTGGTGTCAGACACGGCAGATCCCAGGTGCTCTGAGACGCCAAAGCCCATCTCCCACCTGAGAGGCCTGGGTGACTCGGCTAGCATCGGGTAGCAGGGATGGCTGCAGACTTAGTCACTCACCCGCCTCCTTGTGAGCCACTCCTCTGGAATCCCGCCCCACCGACACTGCTTCTCCTCGGCTGCTCTGCCTGGAAGACGGTCTCAGCGTTCAGATGGGACCCCAGATGCTTCTCAGACCTCCCAAGACTGCTCAGCTTTCCCTCCCCCAACCCAGAGAGGCTCCTCATGACTCTGAGCAGCATTCTTCACCTTGAATTCAGCTCATCTATGTGTCTACAACATCAAACCCAGAAACGCTGAGCATTTAAAAATGGGATTCTGTCCAAACCAAGTCTCCTTTATGCTCTAGGCTATGTGCCTACCACCCACGGAAGGTCTCACTGAGTCACACCTGAGTCATTGCTGGTGGCCCTCAACCTTCCCAAGTGTATCTTGGTCCGTTTCTCTTTCCTTCTCCCTCTATAAATTTTCCTTTCTTCACTTACAATACCTTTCTCTCTTATTTCTCCATCTCCCCAGGTTAAGTCTTTGATTTGTTCTGACATCCCTTGGCACATTCCAGTTTAAGGCCCCTGGGGGCAACAAAAATTCCTGCAGTGCCCACACACACACACACACACACACACACACACACCCCTCCTCGTGCAAACCCAGCTCCTAACTTTAAACATCCTTTACCATAAAAAGAAGGTTATACCTGAAATCTACATAGTTTAGTTCCAATGTTTAAGTCTAAAAATGTCCTTCAAAGTTTTACATTATTTTCTTTGTTAGTTTTTCCTGAGCAAATGATGGTAACCGAGTTTGCTTCAGAATCCAGTGTTAGAAAACACTCTGCCCCTCCTGATCAAACTTCATCTTAAATGGATCCAGAGGACTGAGCACAAAGAAATTCTAAAGGAAAGGGAAAGCAGTGTATCCTAACCCCCAGCCTCAATCACCACCACCGCCAAAAATTCTTACTCTTTACCTCACATTTGCAGATCTAAACACTTTTTGCTTTGTTTCGGCTTATGAATGCAAATAATGCAACATTAATTGTGCTTACCTGGAAAATCTAAAACTATAAAGAGCTTTAGAGGTTAACTAGTGTATTGATTCCCAAGGAAAGATGAACATCAGGACCACCTGGGGAATATTATTTATTTTAAACAATACAATACATCCCCCTAATCCTCAGCCTTAGACATTCCAATTCAGACTTTGGGTACAGCCCTAGAACCTATATTTATAATAAATACTCCAGGTAATTATGATATAGCAGGTCCTGGTCTGATTAAGCACCTGGTCTATTCCAACCTCCTACCCCATATTGCGCTCTCCTCCATGGGACACCACGCAGCTATCCACTCTGTGCCAGCACTTCCAGACCCGGGGCTCTTGCCCTTTTATAGGTCTGCTTGTTCCACTTTTATATGGGCTTAACTATTAGAAATCGTGTCCTTATGCAAAGCCAAGTAACCAAAGTTTCTAAATTCCTTGCACTTCACTCATTATCAGCCCCACTTTGTATTCCAGAGGGGACACAGAATTGCTTCCCCGCAGGTCTTCAAATATCCGAGGGCAGCTACCGCACCCTCGCAAGTCTTCACTTTTCTAAACGACCTGATTCCTTTAACTTCATGAAGCACAATATCTGAGTCCCTCCCCATTTCAACCCCTCTTCCCCAACAGCAGGCCTTACGGAATAAGTCTGTCTAAAGTAACAACACTTCATGTTCTTCTCACGGATGCCTTTTCTTCCGAATTGCCTTCATTTATAGCCCATTTCATTCTTGTTACTCACTGCCTTGCAGTTAACAGTCTGAGAGCCACAGATGGGCAAGTACGTATTAACCTAATGCTGTGTTCCTAACTGTGTCAAGAACTCAGCGAGGACTCAAAAGCCAGCGGAAATCATCCACTTTTGAGGCATAAATCATCTCTTGTACAGAAAGGACTTAGATAAGTGAAATAACTTGAAAACAATGGACGACTGTATACAACCAACTGCTTCGAATGAATGACACCTCGAAGACCAAACACAGGTTTCCTGGGTCAGACCGTGAGCTGTCTTGTGGCCTCTGTTTACAGAAATGCCACCTATTTAACAAGAGTATTTAAAAAAAAAAAAAAAAGAGGATGGCAGCTATTACCTCAAAATGTATGTAAAAATTTCAACTACATGCCGTTTCAGAAAGTTAAAATCTAAGAAACTACACATGCAATAATCAAGTCCAATGCTGCTTGTTCCCTTGTTTCAGCAGGTCGCTGGCACTGCATCCCACGCACTCTGAATGGCACAACCCGGCGAAAAAGCAAAAATCAGAGAGTTTAAGCAATTCCCTTATTACTGCAAATAATTATTTGATGAGGAGACACCCCCGTCCAGGACATTTTAATGGAAAACTCTTACCAATAAGTGAACTATATACTAACACCAACAAAAATGTATTTGTTTCATTCATAGAATCGCAGGCTATCAGAGCTTGAGGAACTTATCAAAATCTTTCTCTGTACAGATCAGGGGGAAATGTTTCAAAGACGGAAGGTGATTCTCTCCAAGGTTAAGCAGCCAATGAGCAGAAGGATGGGACCAATCCCCAGTGGGTCTCCCTTCTCCCATGGCTTTCTGCCTCCTCTTGGTCAACCTCGGACAATCAAAACTCTTGTCCTCTCAACGTTTTCCTCACATCTGCTCCCATCTTCAGCTACTTCTCAATCCTCAAATCCAAAGTCTGAAGGTACATTTTGTTTGGGGACATTTTGAGGGAAGGAGTGGACTAAACAGTAAATAGATGGTTCACTTTTGTATTCGATTCTAGCGTATTTTCCCCATTAGTCTTCAACTAATGCTTCCATGCTGCTAGACACGAAATTCTCCCTGACTCAGGATCAGGGCTGTCTTATGAGCCTTGCAGGGAATTGCCAGAGTTAACTACATGGATTCAAACAAATATTCTAAAGCTGAAAAGCAACTGGTAAAGAATCCCCATCTATGGCACCCTCTCCCCCACTACACACACACACACACACACACACACGCACACACACCCCTAATCAACCAGCTCCTCTACTTCATCCGAAGCCACACCGCTCATCCACACCCTTACATGGAATGCAGGAAAAATGCACCTACCTCGTGGCCTCTTGCTGAAGCCATGACACATTTGGCACATAGAACATGACTCCGAAGAAAAGCAGAGGCTCATTAGCAAATTTGTCCAGATGTTTCTTCAGAGGTTTCTCCAGCTCCACCCATCGTGCTTGCTGGCTCTTGCTGAGAAACCAGAGGCCAAAGTAGTGCGTCTAGATAAAAGCGCAAAACAACATCAGTGCATGCTTGCAAGGGCCTTCCCAAGACCACACAGGAGACCAGGCTCCTGGGCCTCCCATCACCTTCGGTTCTCAGCCTGTACACGAGCATTCAGCTTTTACTTTCTGACTGTGGGACAAGTTAAAAAGAAACCACATGGACACAATGCTGTGATCTACTCTGAGTATCCAGAGGCAGCATCCACACCCACTGCTACTGTTTGTCTATGTGGGCACCGACGCACCCATGTCAGGTAAAGGGGGTGGGGCAGGGCGGGGACCGTGCCGACTTTTCCCCGCAGATCTCAAGGCTGACTTTGCTGTGGTTTCTGGGTGCCTCGTGATCTCACATGGAGTATGCTGGCAAAGATAAACACAGTTCTCACGCCTGCTGCAAAGTGACTGATTACTTACTCAACTCCTAAGACAAAACCTTCTGGCAAATGAAAGCTTCCACAGTGTAGAATATTTTCATCCAAGACCAGTTTTTAACTGAAAACAAATTCACTCCTTTTGACCTTTAATGGAGTCCTTTACAAACCATCACCTTGATCATTTTATTATACATGAACTGCAGCAAACCTCTCCCATATGAAGCTTTCAGACTGGAAGGGTCTCCTCTTTCCAGCTGCCACAGCCCCCCGCCCCCCGCCCCTGTGGCTGTTCTTGGCTGATTATGGTGGGATTTGATAGATGAAAGTGAGATTCTCACCCTTGGACTTGAAGCCTCACCCAGTTTAGTTTAGAACGACGTGCTCAATGATTTAAACAGGTGCTCTGAGGCATCCAATCCTGTCTTCATATTAATTAATGCTCAGATTTCAGGATTAGCACAACAATCGCCAAAAAACAGATCACTGCTTTTGAAGCACTCTTTCATATTTCAATTATAGCCTTGAATGCTTTGCAGCACACCTGGAAACCTGCCTTCAAAAGAATGTTTTCAGGACAATGTCTAATTTCCAAAGGCATTCCTGTGCAGATGTTCCCCCGCCAGCTGGCTGCCCCCGCTTCGATACCGTGGATCGACCACGCCGCACGCTACCAAAACCTGCCGGAAAGTTCTGCCTCTGACTTTACTAGAAAACCAGATACGTCTTTGCCGCCATACAGCTACAGACCCAAACAGTCTACAGGATATTTTTAAATGATACATTCGGATGGGAGCAGCAATCCGATCGCTTTCCTCCACGATGTCCCAAAGGGCCTTTTTACACCAGAAGTCTATGTATTTCTCGAGCAATGAAATGCCAACAAACAGAGCCAAGGTTCTATTTCTATCAACTCAGACAAACTGGCCTGAGTGAATCCCGAGCCTGTTGTTCCTTTCCCAGCTCCGGGGAGTCCACGAGCTGTTCCAATGTGCCTGATGACATAGAGGAAGTGAAATGTGGCCGAGTTCAAAGGAAGCAGGCTTTGAAGTCAGCTCATCTCCCAGCTCTTGCACTCCCTGCCTCAGCGACTGAGGCCAAGTTACTGCACCTCCTCGCGTTTCAGAGCTTCTTCATCTGTAAAATGGGGGTGCTGATTACAGGGTGTAAATGAGGTGATGCCTATCAACTGTGCGGGGGGGGGGGGCGCCTGTTAAGTAACCACTTCATGAGTGGTGCCTTTGGTTGCTGCTGATGCTGCTTCCACCACCACCATCGTCAGGGACTAAAGCAGGCAAGCCTCAAGAACTTTGTTCATCAGCACTACTATCATCCCCATGAACCAGAGGGTTGGAAAACAGAGGTTATCTGGAACCAAACAGGAAAAGGTAAGCAAAAGTCAAGCCGGAAAGCCTATCAATAACACAAACATCTAAAAGGTATAAGAAAAAATAATAGTCACAAAGCAGTGCCTCCCCAGGATTTTCTTGAGAGTCTCATTGTAGGTGCTGGTAGAGCCCTGAAACATCACTCAGATGCTGTGCTAGGGGATCTGTGATGTAGGCTCATAAAATGAGGTAACCTGGGTACTTAATAAACTGGGAAAGGAGCCAAGGCGGTTGGTTCTGCATTATACTGAATTCCTTTAAGGAGCACAGTGCCGTAGAAGGGTATTTGGGATGGCCAGCAGTGAGTTTGCATATAATAAATGAGGTAATATATGTAAACAGTAATGTGCTATGCAATAATTATTTTAGTTGGAAAAGAGCCCTTTTATAAGCCTGGGTGGAGAAAGGGAGGGCAAACCTGACGGTTACTTAACAGACCGACCATGATTTATTATCTTTCACTAAAAGTAGTCTTGACATTTGGGGGTATAATTTTATGGGCCTTACTTCATTCAAATTATAACATTCACTCAAATTAGTAACATCCAAATTATAAAGGGCCCACAGTAACTGCATAAACATTCTACGGTTAATTTTTCAAAAGAAAATTAAAAAAAAAAAATTTTTTTTACTACTCCCATGCTTTAAAGGCCACTATTTTAAATTTCTTTTTCTCATTCCCACCCACCCAATCATTAAACCCGACCTGATCTTTGCCCCCCCAAAAACCCTGAGAAGGAATATTCCATAGAGTACACATACGCACCCACACGCATGCACAGATAAATGCCCACACTGGTGCATACATTGAAAGGGGGGGTGACAGGGTGCAATAGAAATCATGCAAGGAAACAGACTTGAGCCATCATTGGTAGTACAGAGCTCTAAATAACAAGGCAAACCACTTCTAATGCAAAAGCACCCCTAACTCATAGCATAAGATTTTGTTGTTGTGACATAGCCTTTCCCATAGGACACAGGATATTTCAGGGTGATTCATTATGCATTTACCCAATAAAAAAATTAGGGAACTACTCAAAATATGGGGCTTCCAATGCAGGGTAGAATTGGACTAGACAGGTAACCTAGTGGACACAGTTTCTACCTACTCATAGCCAGAACAACCTAATTTTAGAAGTACTGAATTCAGTTATCAAGTAGGAAGCAAAGTCCATTCATGAGCTCCCTATCCCCACACTGTTCTGTGAAGCTGTGTCCAAAGTTACCTTCTCCATTCCCACCCCACCGCCCTCATTCCTCCTCCAGCTATATCTGTGTCTGGGGTACTCAGCAGAGGAGAAAACCCATCTCAAAGTTCTTACCCTGCTCTATTCGAGTTTACCGTGCAGCGCGTTTATTCTGCCACACAGGAAATGCAATCAGAACCTAACAGCTCACTTAAACTAACATGTGCACCAGCCAACTTCCTGTGTGTTAGCCAAGGGTCCCCTGTTCCCATCAGGCCCAGCTGGGACCACACCAGGCCTGTTCACAGCTGACTTGCCAATTTAAACTCCATCTGAATTCTGGAAGCTGAGCCTCACTGCTAAACACCGCCACACAGTTGAGGAGAGCGTGGTGGATGATTCCAGTGAGAAACCAGCTCCTCCAAGATCAAAAGGATCCCACTGTGTTGCCCGAGTAAATGCGGGGAAGACTTGTTTGGTTTATCTCGGAGGCACCCAACCTAAGCCAGGTCAGTCTCATCCTCACCATACCTCTGGGTGAGATATCACTCCCGTTTTATTTTAGTTTTCTTTGGAAAACAGCTCTGGTGCCCTGAATTCTGCAATGAGTTCACTGCCCATGATGAGAAAAGAAGACAGAAGAACCAGCTCCCAGGGAGAGAGGAACCAGTTACTAAACCAGTTACTCTGAATCGGTTACTAGAAATGCACCAAGAAACAACGCAGGGGCGCTGCACTAAACTGGCATTTTCATGAGAAGTTTCCTGGTTTGCTTCGTTTGGAGTTTTGCATTTTAACAGAGGAAGCAAACGTGTACGCATGCATTCAAAAATACGCATCAAGGGCAGAGTGGTGTGTGAATACTTTAGTATCAAAGTAAGATCTCTCCTTTGGTGTCATGAAAGACTGTAGTGGATAAGGGTCTGTAAAAACAGTCTGGAGAGTTTTGTGTGTTTTTTAAAATATGTTTTTATTGACTTTTAGAGAGAGGGAGAGAGAGAGAGAAACATCAATGTGAAAGAGAAGCATCGATTGGTTGCCTCCAATGTATGCACCCCCACCGGGGACCCGGGTATGTGCCCTGATCCGGAATTGAACCAGCGACCTTTCAGTGCATGGTATTACGTTCAACCAACTGAGCCACACCAGCCAGGTCCAGTCTGGAGCATTTTTTATTCATGTTCATTTATTTGCAGAGATGGTGTTATCCCCCCACCACACTGGCTATTAATAGGAAAAGATTTCTTGGGGGGTTTTCCCCCCAGTTTTGCTACCAATGGCATAGCTTTAATGCTATTTGTAAGGGTTACAAACACAGTCTTGGCAATTACTAGGGATTAAGTCCATGATCTTATCTCAAGCATTCTGAAGAGTTAATCATCCAGAAGCAAAAGTTTAAAATATTTTGCATGAAGTTGTAATGGGTTGCCTGCAGTACCCAGTATTTCAGTTGTAAAATCAGAAACAGAGCATTGGTATGCCTCCACATAAAATACACAGAAATTACATAAAGCACTAAAACTTTCATGAGGCATGGAAAATACTTCTAAAGATGTACAGGCACATCATGCAATCACATTCCAAGGGCTTTGGAAAATAAGCCACTGTACATCAGTTGGATAATTGTAAAAAAACAACTTGTGTGCAATCAACCTCTACTCTAGGTAGGTCTGGGATTTCCAGAGCTGACACATCTATAATTACCAACCACACCATCTTCATTTTCCTACCCATTCTCTTCGTAAAAGTATAAGAAAAGAAATTGCCGAGTAACATAGATCCAAGAAGCAAATTTCATAGCCAAAAAAACATCTTTCTGAGTATGCAAAAAGACCAAGACTTACAAGTTAAGACTGGGGATATTATTTCACCTGCAATCTCTATGTCTAGAAAACAGACATTGGTGTCAATTTCCCTCAAAAAACTGATATTAAGCCAATAAGATTTCACATTATTAGCCTTACAAAGACAAAGAGCAATACAAATTCAAAGACCAGAAATCTCCGGAACAGACTACTTTTCAATCGATTCTTAATCAGTGTAGATTATTTTAGTCTACTGCACATACAAACATACGTGGACGAGATTAAGCAGGCTATAAAATACGGCAAATGCCACTATCGTCTGACAGGGTCAGGAAATCCTTGGATGGCTTTCCATTTCACAGCAGTGTTTTACTCGCCAAACAACTCAGAGAGTATTTAATAGAAAACCAAAAGAACTGTGAAACACTGAACTTAACACATTTTTTTTAATCTATAGAATTTACAAGAGTGTTTCCCACAGCATTTACCACGGCCCCTTTTCTGCCTCTACACATCCCTGGGAATTAGAGTGGTGGCCTCAGCCTGCCTGGGTTTGAGCCAGCCCAGTGAAAGCGGGCAGGTCGCCCCATACTGTGGTCCCACGTCTGTAAAATGGGGATAGCAAGAGGAGCCACAGACTTGTTATGAGAATTAAATGAGTTGACAAATGGAAGGTGCTCAGCACAACAGGTAGCACATGAAAAGGTGGCGATTATTTTAATTATTTTTGTGACACATGTTGGAAACAATATCCTATAGGGCCTAGCTAAAAGTCCCTGTCCAGATACATGAAAACCTTCAAATACAGACTCCCGCCAGCCCTTCCACTCTCCTACCCTCCCCGCCATGACCCCTCCACACACACACACAAACGGATCGGTACAAACTGAACTCTGCCTTTCCCTGAAAATTCTACATGCTTTCCTGTTTCTGTACCTCAGCACAGGCTGTTCCCCCCCTTCCTTTGCTGCTTGTTTGTCCTATTCTTTAAACTCTAGGGTTTCTGGGAACAGGGACCCTATTATATTCAGCTTCCCTGGGAGTGAGAGTATGTGCTGACTGGATGCCATTTGAAATGGCAGCAAATCAGTGCATTCAAAACCAGACTTGACCCTCAGAAAGCTTACCCTGTGGATATGTCATTACACATTTGTCAAAATGCACAGGATGTCCAACGCCGAGAGGAGCCCTAATGGGCCCAGTTGGTTAGAGCATCGTCCTGATACACCAAGGTTTAGGGTCTGAACCCCGGTCAAGACACATACAAGAATCAACCAATCAACCAATGAATGTATAAACAAGTGTAACAACAAATCAATGTTTCCCTCTCTCCCTTCCTCTCTCTCTAAAATCAATAAATATTTTTTAAAAAGAGTGAACCCTAATGTAAACTGTGGACTTTGGGGGACAATGATGTATTAATGTGGATTCATCAAATGTAACAAATGCTCTCCTGTGGTTTGGGATGTTGATAATGGAGGAGGGGTGAGGGGGTGTGCGGGAAGGAGGTACAGGGAACCGTGCTTTCCACTCAATTTTGTTGTAAACCTAAACCCGCTTCAAAAAATAAAATTCTCCAATAAAATTAAATGGTAAAACACAATTTGTAATTAATTAATATAAAGCTCTTATAAAGTTTAGGATACACCTAAACCACAGGACACTTCTAACGGCAAAGCCAAATATCCACCATAATCTGGTTTCCGGGCCTTATCAAGAGCAGATATTTTGTTGTATTTTAGATGGATTTCCACTTTCTCCTCTAAAGCGCCATCAGCTCTGTGTGGAAACTGACCCCAATACAAAGTCAAGCGAGTGGAGCAGACCCTGTGCTCGCCGCCTCCTACTTGGGCTTTGGGGTGGAAAATGCATTCCTGCCCGAGGTGTGGATGCACAAAAGAACAAAGCATTACGCTGCCCTAGCTCAGAAGTAGCTGGAGGATTGTCTCACAAAGGCCCATGCCTTCGATGTCATCCGTCACGGAACAAAAGCACACAATTGGAAACGAAAGTGATTTGCTCTAATGTGGATGCGCCCGTTTGGGGCACGTCAAAATAAAGCCAGCATTAAGCGCCAACCACACCTGAGCATTAGGAGATCAGTCACACTGCCACACACACCTGACAGCAGAATGTGACTTCACTGCTTTAGCCTTTGTGACAACACAGTTGTGGGATAATCCGGGGTTGACCTTTGCCCTCTTGCCACCAGAAACAATAGTCTGCTAAGAGTAATTATTACCTTCCGCATCTCCAGACACGCCTCGCCGTGCACCTTACACTGCAGCTCTACCTGGTGATTTGCAGGGGTGGCTTTTCAGTCCCCAAGAATGTGCCTGCTTTTTCACATCCTTGGATGTGCGAAATTCCAGTTCCCCACGCCCAGCATGACCTGGCCTTCTCTTCCACCTGCTGAACTCCTGTGCATCCTTCAAGTCCCTGTTCAAAGAGCGAAGGCTCTTGAAGGCTCTGCTCTTCTTTCCAAGGCTTCCTCTCCCTTCCAGGGCCGTGGTGTTCGGTGGAGCAGCCGCACACTGCACAATCTAAGGACAGCATAGATGCCCCTGCACTGCTCCTCGGCGTGGGTCACATTTGATCTTAGCTGTTAGTTTAAATGCTGGACTCCCCTACTTGCCTGTGCATATCCTAACGGCAAAACTGCACCTCATTACCTTCATTTCATCAAGTCCTGAAACAGTGCCTGACGCACTGCAGTTGCTCAAGATTTTCTTCCATGAAAAAGACTCTTAAACTGGAACAATTACATATTATTAAAGACAGCACTATGCATTTTCCATACTAAATCTCTTTTAATATTTGCAACAGCCCTAAAAGGTAAGTAAAGTGTCATTATTCCCATTTTACAGGTGAGAAAACTGATGCCCAGAAGTGCAGTAACTTTTCCAAGGCTACCCAACTAGAGAGCAACAGAGCTATACCTTAAACTCAAGTGCAAGACTCCAAAGGCTGCGCTTGTAACTACTTAGCCACGTGCTCTGTGCCTCCCAATGCATGCGAAGAATAGTTAATTACTCTAATGTGACTTACCAGGAATGCTCGAAAGTAAAACCACTGCATATATTTTTAAATGATCTATAAAATTTTTCCAAGAACTTAGAGCAGTCTCCTGCCCAACCGATCTACAGTATTAAGGTTCTTCCTTGATATCCATGCACATAACTATGTTTAAATATGTATATATACCCAAATGGGTTACTAATAAGCACAAAAGAACCAGCCATCAACCAGAAAGGTCAGAACACATTTATTCTAGTGTGTCAGCTACAGAGTTACGCATATCTGCTAGGCAGGACAGGCTCCTACACAGGAAACTAAGCTTTGAAGGAAGACCTGATCTCTGAAACCAAAGTATGCATATGAAGACCAGTAGGAGACAGAGTGTTCGGGTAGAACAGTCCCCCAGAGGATAAGAGTTGGCCTGTGGAAGATGCCAAGGGGAGAAGACGACCTTCCGTGACCCCAATTCCTACGTGCACATGGAGAGAAGGTGGATTGTGAGGGGTGAGGGAGGGGATCAAACACTATCAACCAATCACTTCCAACAGGCACCACCCCTCTTCATCACCCTGAGGTCTTGGGCAATGATGTCACAGGTACCAGGACAATTACAGGGCTTTTTCTGTCCTCAGCAAGGCTTGAGTCTCAGGGGGCTATAGTCACTTCAGCACTGGCCACCATTCAATCACACCCACCTTACCCACTAGCTGGCATGACACATGGCTCTCAAGACAAATGCTTTGTGTGTTACTCACCACATCTCTCCTGGAGTGTCTGCAAGACTGAAAAAGCAGGGCCTGTGTGTTAGAAAGGACACCCTGCCCTAAGCAAGAGTCTGTTCTAAAGAGCAAGGACATGACCGACTTCACGGTCAACCCTGGGTATGCTTAAAGCCCAAAGAAGTCGCACAGACAGAACAAAGAAAACGAGGGACAGGAGGAATCTCAAAAGAAACAAACCCCCATTTCCAAGCTCCTGCAAGCAGCGTCTCTGCTCACACTCCCTCTAAATGCTTATTTTCTTTTCCCTCCTTTGAAGGGGAAAATACAGAAACAAACGAGCAAAAGAGAAAAGCAGCTGTGTCCATCCTAGGTGAGCGTTCTCGCTTGATACGCGGCGGGAACCTGCCACACAGTCACCCGCTCAGCTCTTCTAAAGACAGAAATGACTTTGGCGAGGAGAGTCCTCTTCAAGCCCCCCAAAACGTCCCCACTAGCAGAAACAAAAGGGAGGCTGTCACCCCGGGGGAGCTCTAGGTGTGTCCTCGCTTCTCTCCACTGACAGCTGGAAGATCAAGCCCCTGCTAAGCGTCACAGGCTTCTTCTAAACACGAGGCTGGGGCTGAAAGGCATGGCAGGTGCCAGGAGACAGGTGGCTGGTCCCTTGGGTGAGTCTCGCTCATGCACCCGCCACACACCCCCTTACCTCCCGCAGCTCTAGCCTCTGGGCCACAGCCTCCAGGCACTCCTGCCCCGTGCTTTCCACTGACAGCGTGCACTCGATGACATTGCTGTCCAGCAGGCGGATGCGGGTGACAAAGCAGTTCTTGCTCAAGACGTTGTAGCGCCGTGTCCGGCGGAGCTTCAGGCCGAAAGGCATGGCTCTGGCCCTCGGGTGCCGCCCTCCTAGTCTGGCGCCCACGTCCCTGGGGTGGCCTTAGCAGTTTTGGGACCCGGCGATGGCACTACCAGCCGTGCTCCTCCAGACGCGGGAAAAGGTGTCCATGCCCGGTGTGGCACTCTGCGGGGTGGCTGCAAACAGAAAAGCGGCAAGGTCATTAACTGAAGGGAAGTTGTAGGTGAGATGGTGCGAATTCCACACGCACAGGCACCCCTTCCCCCCAGATAAACATCCAGATTCCAGAAGCTGCAAGGTGCCTGGGAGAGCCCCTGCACTTTATCTTATCTTGCAAAGGTGATATGATTAAATCTGCCGTAGAGCTGAAGAAATGACGAGGAGATTCAGAGACATCCAAAGAATTCATCCAAGCCCTGGCTGGGGGGCTCAGTTGGTTGGAGCATCTCCCCTACACCAAAAAGGTTTCAGGCTCGATTCCCGGTCAGGGCACATACTTAGGTTGAGGGTTCGATCACTGGTTGGGGCACATACAGGAGGCAACCAAGATGTTTCTCTTTCACGTCAATATTTCTCTTTCTCTCTCTCAGGTAAGAATAAATAAGTAAATAAATAAATAATAAATAAATAACCCATACATGGCAAAGAATTCAAACCATTCCAACCAATTATGTAACTTCAACTCACATGCTTTTTTCACTGTACAGTCCTGTCTGCTCAAGAGAGCAATCAGGCTGGAATCAACACCATCTTATTAACTTCTAAATGTGTATTATCTCATTTCAACCTCCGCGTGAGAGCGTTTGCTCCCCGTGAGCAAACCTGTAGTGTAGATTTTATGATCCTTATATTACACAGGGAAAAAGTGAGGTTCTTCATTTAAAGGATTCACTGATCCTGAAATTAAAATCTTCTCAACACTGCTTCTTTACTTTCAGTAGCATGATTTGCCTTTATTTTGATTTTAATATTTTATTTATTTTATCACTTATTTTCTTGTTTATTTAGAATGAATAGAATACGAAGGAAATACACATTTAATACAGTCGACAACTTCTTACTTTTAGAAAACACTTTTAAATATATGAATTCTTTAATGCACTTAAAATGATAATTCCTCCTATTTTACCAAATATTTAGACAGTTCAAGGTGCGGAAACACCTTACCATCATTTTGCTCTTTTACAAAATGCTTAATGCAAAAGCCCTGTCACCAAATTACAGACCATTTAATTTACTAATAAGGGGATTTCCTGACACCCTGGTGGCCCACCAAATGCCAGTATGACATCACTGCCACAGAGAGCAGGACAACAAACCACCACCAACCAAGCGGCTCTACCATCCCACCCTGAGCCAGTAACGCTCTCACGGGGAGGCTCGTACCTTCCAAAGCAGCCAGAAAAGCCAGAAATGCCCAGACAGCCTCCCTGTTGGGCCTTGTGCTATCCATCAGCTCAAAGGCCCAGCCCCTGTTCCTGTGATTACACTGTTAACTTGATTCCCTAAATCGGGCAGGCTCAGCCAGTCTTCAAACCCTTCATCCACGGAATTACCTCTGAGCCCCCAGACACTTGAATGGACAAGTATGAATCACTACTTGCAGGAGTTCTCGAATTAATAAATAAAGTGCCTTCAACGCTTAGCAAGCACTCCGTGTCAGTACCCAAGGCCTCGCGAAGGTTGTCAGGACACAGCCCTACAACACAGCAAAACACGCTCCCCACACTCCCTCGGCCAGTCTTTGATGCCTGCCCTCGGCACATTCCTTAGCATGACAGGAATATGTTTTATGATGGCTTAAAATACACATGCCAGTAGAGACTTTGGCTTGGTAAAATATATTAACATTTCTAAATCACTTTATGTTGGCAGAGTAGCATGTTTACTTCCAAGGTAGGCCAACCTGATGATCGACTGATATCTACAGAAAGGAGTCTGGAGGGACCCACCCAAAAAGACAAAAAGAGAGCCAGAATTCAAATACAGAGCCCCTAAGAGTTTACTACTCACACATTCCCACAACTTGTTGAAACACAGGGCACAGAACACCAAGATTCAATTCCTATATTAGCTAGGGAGCCTCAAACAGAGGAAAATATTTGCTCTGTGGGCACAAGCCACATAGCTAATCCTGGGCCAGGCACTTTACAATTGGGTGTGTCTCGTCTTAAACAGCGATGAAAGAATGTGGCTGGCTTGGTGCATTCATCCCAGCCACTATTAAAAACAACCCTCGTTACCTATTCCGTGGGACTCCTTCCATAACTCAGTCAGGGAGATAAAAAGTAAGCTGCACAGTAATGTGGAGAGAGGGTCACAGTTTTTATCAGACATTAAAAAAACAAAAACAAAAGCACAGAAATGGGAAAGAAGGTAAGTTCACCGAAGCGATTAACTGTTATCTCAGGACTACACAGTGGTGATATTAAATAGAACTCTTGCTTTACAGTTTATAGATTTCTAAACTGTTCTAACATTTTACAACCGCCTTATCTTATTTTTTGCAAATAAAGATTAAAGAACGTTAGCTACTGAAAATGGTGTATCGGGAACAGCATCTGACAACCTGGCACGATATCTCCTACAAAATACTTGACTATTTTAAGTTTTTAAAAACGCTTTAAATCTTCGATTTGCAAGAAACTTGCCTGGTAAGGTAGCAACAGAAAGGTGATAAGAAAACTGGTCTGGTCCTTCTAAAGGTCAATGTCATGAAACAAAAACTGAACAGGTGGGATTAGCAGTAATCTAACTTTCTTCTAGAGTAGAAGATATTTAGGAGTTAGAAAAACAAAATGTAATGTGTGACCCTTCATCAAATCCAGGCTTGGGAAAAAAAAATTTTAAAGATGTGGACAATTAGGGAAATTTGAAATAGAGAGTAGGAATTGGGTATTAATGCATCATTGTTCATTTTCTTCCATTTTTGATAGTGGAATTATGGTTATGTAGGAGAATGGCTTTAGGAGATGCCAATGGGTATATTTAGGGGTGAGAATATCATGATGCCTATAACTTACTAACAAATCGCTAAAAAATAACACCCACACACATAAGTACATACACAAATTCAGAGTTGAAACAAGTATGACAAAACATTAACAGTTGAATCTAGGTGGTGGGCGTACAGATATTCATGGCACTATTCTTTTAGCTTTTCTTTCCACCTAAAAATGTTCACAATTAAAAGGTTAAAAAAAAAGGCAACCCTCAATGCAGGTACTAAAGAGACTCCAACCACATCTACTCCTACGGCTCAGCGTATGTGGCACTGCCTCTTTCAATGGGCATCTCTGATCCTTCCCATCTGAGATCACCCGAGCTGAACTCCCACAGTCATTTGTGCTTATTTTAATATACCAAACTGATTTAGTATCAGCACATTTTGACACTACACTTCTCCAGAGCTAGAAGCACATTTCCTTCATCTTTAATACCCAAACCACTTACCTACGTTAAAAGCTCATGGCATTTACAGCCAGAACTGTGTGCTCACAGGGCTATGCTTCTGGAAGGAACTTCCAGGCACTCATTTACGACATTCTTTACCTTCAGGAAGGGCTACACTTAAATCATCCCAGGTAAACAATCTGTGTGACACTAACCTATAACAACAGGGTTAGGGAAGATTATCTCCCAGTCCCTTTTAGTGTCAACATTTTAAGAGTCTATGAGAGAGTTACCTGCCATGTTTAAGCTCTTGAAGAATCCATAGCATGTGTCACTCATCCACCTTTGAACTATCTGGAGAGGAATATAGTTCTACCTCAACCTTAAACCAGCTCCCTGTTATATTTTAAGCCCAATTCCTCTGCTTTGTCCTTGAAAGACAGAGACACAAGGATTATAATATCCCACCAAATAACAGAATTGATGTGAAGTCTACCACCAAGTCCTGTGTTACACAGCCTGGCCCCTGGCACCTTTCCTTTTTCCCCATGTGGTTCAGTGGGACCTCATCATACTTAATATAACATTATAAAACCTAGAACCAGCCCAGCTGGAGTGGCGCGGGTGGTTGAGCATAGTCCTGTGCACTGAAGGGTTGCCGGTTCAATTCCCGGTCAGGCAACATACCTAGGTTGCAGGTTCGATCCCGTGTCAGGGCATGTACAGAAGGCAATTGATCAATACTCTCTCTTAAATCGATGTTTCTCTCCCCCCCCCCTTCCTTCCCTTCCTCTCTCTAGGCACGTCCTTGGGTGAAGATTAAAAATTAAAAAAATTAAAAAAATAAAACTGAGAACTGAATGCCATACTCTCATAGAAAGGTCACATGTTCATGACACTTTAGATTTTCCTGATGAAACTGGCTTTCAAAAGAGATCAAGTTAGGCAGTCGTCATTCTACTTACCACAAGGTGTTTCTTAAAATGGAAAGCTGTTTTAAAAATAAAGTTGCGGAAAATATAGAATTTTATTTATCCATTCTTCAAGAACATATCTAGTACATAATGCAAGCTGCAATTGTTGCTGATGCCTACTCGTGAAGTTAAAACAAGCCTTTCTGTTACTACAGGTGGTAAAACTATCAGTACTGACTCATGATTCTTTCAAGACAGTAACTTATTCTAATTTCAAAATATAACCTATTAACCCTCTTTTTCTTAGGTGCTTCTTAGAAGAAAAAGCAGCACCAGGTAAGAGAGTTAGACACTAGCCCTTTAGCGATGAGAATAACTGGAAATAAGGGGCAAAGGCCAAAAAAAAAAAAAAAAAAATCCAAGTGCCCCAAACACTGAGAAGTCTCCAGCTGCAGGTTCTCTGTCTCAGTAAAGAAAAGGGAGCGTGGTGTTAAGACAGCACTGGGGAAAGACCCTTCACAGGGGGTCAAACTGAGCGCTTCTTTGAACCAAAGTTCACTCTTAAAAGAACACAGGCAAACCTTTAGGCAAGAACTGGCGTTACCCGGAGAGGCCTGGGGCGAATGCTAAGCCACTGATCCTCTCTCAGCCTCAGTTTACTCATCTATCAAGATAACACCTACCCCACCTGTTTGGGAGCAGTAAATGAGAAAATGGTCTCTGGGGCACCCCGTAGGTGTGGGCACAGTCCCTCCCTCTCCCCCTCCCTGTAAGCTAGTAACTCAAAGGACAGCAAAGCAGGTTGAGTCCCCTACCAGCTACTGTGGAGAAAGTCTTTAAGAAAAGAAAACGGCAAAGAATACAGAGTT